TAGAACTTGCTTTTCTCTATCCAATAATATGTCAAGTCTGTAGCTTAATAAATGGACTTTGATTTATTTAGACAAGGAGTTTACTTTTGAAACAACCTAATAAAAAGCAAAATTTTTCATTTTCAAATAAGATAAACCCAACATTGATGTTACTGGTTCGAATCTAAATTGCTTCTGCTCATGGCTCGCATTCTCCTCTTGTAATGCTTGCCAGGAATATGCAACTCGGGCATGAAATATCCACATGGATATAGAAAAACTCACAATTAAACTAATGAATCCTGCTGCTGTGGTCACTGTAATCAATGGTATTTGATTTTCGCCATTTTTATTTGCCCAGAATCCCAACACAAACGTCAGAATCAGCTAAATGGAAAATGCGTAATATTTAGAAGAAAGAAAGTATCTCACCTACCGTCGTAACGAGTGTAGTGCAAGGCAGAACGGCTGCGGTAGAATTTCTTTCATATTGCTTTGGTTTGTACACGGCTATGCAGCGCTCTATGCTCAGAAATAAGCTCGATATGGCAAAGCCGCAAATTGCATAGACAAAGGCTGCGACCAAGTTGCTTTTAAGATCCTGGAAAACAACGGAATTTTTGAAAAATTTGGAATCTTTCAAGTTCTGATAAAGAGCAATCAAATTCTGGGATTTTCGACACTGCCAATTTACAAGTACTTCAGCTACTTAGCAATTTCAGAGGTCAGATGTTGAGGAAAAAGGTGTAAAGAGATCATATAAAACGTAAAAAGTACAAAAAAATGTTATTAGAAAACATGACTTGATAAAACGTCAACATTTAGTTAGATTTTTTCCAAACAGTATGTTTTCTAATACGATCCAGTATTCGCACTCTATAATGCGAAAAATAGAAAGCAAAAATGGGAGATTCGATGTGCCACAATAAGTTATTCTATACTTATAAGGTACTTGTAACTCAGTCAAACTTTAGCTCCAAAAACTGATACCTCTAGTACCTCTGGAAGACTCTTTTCTTTACTGCCACGAAGTTCTGTTATTCTGTTAGAATTGTGGTATTTGTTTTCAAATTTGAACAAAAGCATAGATGAGACGAATTTACTGAGAGAGGCTGGAAGCCAAAGAAGGTTCCATTGAAAAAATTGAAGATCTAACGTTATGACTGCAATAACGAGAATTCGGGTTAAATATGGAAAAATTGCGTAAAAGTTGACGGGAAATTTACTTTTTTCTCAAGCTAAAACCGCTCACCTCTCGTGTTGCTTCATCAGCCACGTAATTGCTAGCAGCTAGTAAATAAACGGCAATGGAGCGTAGTATTCCAAAGCTTATCAATAAAATTACAACCATTCTAGAATAGACCAATTGCATAGGAGTAAAACTCATCAAGTGTATACTTACCTAAAGTTATTATGGAGACCAGCATGTGTAAAGAGAATATAAAGTGAAATAACAGAGAGAACGTTTCCTAATATGTACATGATAATTACAATTGCACATGGGATCGTGATCATCTGAAGTTGGAATACATTCATCATCCTTATATGTTGATTGAAGCTCACATTTAC